AATAAAGAAGACTAAATAAAAATAAATAACTGCATTATAAACACGTTAAATCCATTCATTTCTGAGTGAGGGGTCGGCCTCTTAACGAGGTCCAGGGCCTTGCTACAGCGATCAGTAGTCCGAAGCCTGAACTGTTGAGCCACCACTTCCCCTGAACCGACTTTGTGCAACTCTGCGGCTTTAAATGTAATTCTTTGCTTCAAATCCCCTTTTTCTACTCTTCTTAAAACAAGTCACTGACACATTAGAGGAGATACCAATTTCTAACGTAAGTAAAATTGTGGGTGTTTTTTCTGTGTTTGTACAGACACAAAGAGAATTGTCCCACACTTAGCAGAAAAAGAATAATTACAGGTTCCTTCTCTGTATTAGATTATGACGATGGCATCTACAGACGCATCTGTGCCTTCAAAGTAAAAGCCCTGGATTCAGTTTACCTCTCAGCTTTAAGAGTCATAACTTATTCTACTCCTCACTGCTTAATGTATGTAGAAGTTGGCTGCACGTCTCTGGCAGCAGGATGAAACCGCCGTTGGTTTCCTGTTTTATTTAGAAGGCACCGAACTGCAAGATGCCACCAAACACAACTTATTTGTTAAACTGGTGCCAAAGTCGTAAATCGGCTCGTTCAAGGCTGATACTTGAAGTCCTGTGATTTTAGTTTTTGTGCTGCACACAACAAATATGAAAACTTCAGACAAAACTCTTGAATGTACTGAATGAATGTTTGTTTTTGTTCCTCATTAATATCCCTCATTGTCTTTGAAACTGAAGGCATGAACTCAATGATTCCTCAAGTATTAAATAAAGGTTAAATAGACAGCTTTTTCTCTGCTCGTTTTTTTTGCAATCGCCTCATTTTCTCCCATCTCCTCCTCTTTCAGGCTCGCCAGCTGATTCTGCAGCACGGCCTCACGCTGTCGGATCTGGACAGGCACCCGGAGGTACGATGAGCTTTTTAGAAATTAAACTGAAAGCCGTAGAAATGAGAAAAAGGGCCGCGATGTGTCGATGCACAAACCCTGCCAGCGGGAATCGGAGCTTTGAGGCAAAGAAAAAAGCATGAATGGTGCAGCCGACTGTTTCTGAAATGAGAGCAGACTGTATTTATTTGACCTGCGCTCTTTGTGCTTTATGATGCGTTCAGCTGGACGTGGCGATCGACGGAGCCGACGAAGTGGACGCAGACCTCACTCTGATTAAAGGTGGAGGGTGAGTACAGCTCAGTACGGACGGCTGAATTTAATCAACTTGATTTCTCACTCGTCCTCTCTCCTTCCTGCACAGCGGCTGCCTGACTCAAGAGAAGATCGTCGCCGGCTGCGCCAAACATTTTGTTGTCATCGCCGACTTCAGGTATGCATGTGCTAGTTTACCTGGAGAGTGACAGCTCAGAGGAAAATAAAGTGATTTTATTTTGTTAAGGATGTGTTAAAATCTCTCTCTGATCATTACAGTCGTCCTCAAATGTATTCACACCCTTCCATTAAAGAAAAGGCAAAATTCACAATAATCACTCAAATAACTAGAAACTGAAGAAAGTAATAATAAATAAAAATTTGTTAAATTATAATTTGGTAAAATAAGACACTGCTTTTGAATTGTGGTTGAAAAGAATACTTTTAAAAAACAAACAAAACTGTCCAAAATGAGCCAAAATCTAAACACCTGTCAACAGGTGCAGAAGTCTGACTGAGAGTTACAGAAAACACCTGATTGCAGTGATTGGCTCAAAGGGTTGTTCAACTAAATATTAGTTCATGGGTCCTGTCATGCTTGTTTACTTGTTTGTTTGTGTTGTTTAATGGGAGGACATTTGAGGACGTCTGTATATCAAAAGATTTTTTTTCAGTGCAAACATGTATAAGAACTGCCCCATAGTTTGCCCTTTCAGCCTTTGTTTTTCCATTTTGGTGTAGGATCGGACGGCTATGAGGGCAGCAAAACGATGATAAAACTTAGTTTGAGGATGTGACACCAGTTGTGTGAGCAGATAGGAAGTAAGAGGGTTTTTATGTTAGCCTGGATGGTCAATAAAAATATAGTTGATGGCTATTCAACAAGAACATCAAGAAGGCAGAAAGATGGTGCTTGTTTTTTGTTTTTTTTTGTTCTCTCTGAATTGAACCAATCAGCAGTTAACATGCTGCAGTTTTAGGTAGAAACGCTCCACCATGGTGCTGACGGCTTATTTCTCTCATGTGTCCTATAAAAAACACTAAATGGATGCATTAACAAGAGAGAAAAAACATTTTCACAGGAGGCACCTCTTTAAATGTATATATACTGTATATATATTAGCTGGTTTGGAAGCTGTTTTCCTCATCATGGCGACTGTGAGAGACTTTTATAATAAACTGCATCAGCAAAAAGCACTGAAAACTAATCCTTCTAAATGATCTTTGCATGGTGTGTTTCAGTGATGTCTAAGCAGCAGTTGGTTGCTTTAATTGGACACCTTTAACTGACAAAGAGGAGGATTACACGTGATTGTGTTAAATTAGCTCGTTGACAGTCTCCATATGGTGTTTTTCAGGGTTTTGGAATCATTTAGGAGATAATTTACTTGTTATTATGAGTTGTTACTCTGCTTTCACACAACTAGAAGTCACATCTCTTGCAGTACATTGAACGTAAAGTTAGATTTTATCTGTTATAGTTGTTTAAAGTCTCTTTACATCCAGATAGCAATCAATAAATCAACCGTTATGATAATAGAAAGGAACAAACAGTCATGTGTTGCAATCACAGGCCTCAGAAAGCCTGTTCAATCATTGTTTTTAGTCCTGCACACTCTGCTACTGCATGAGTTTTCCATTAGACTCGATGACATGTTGCATAATGCGCAAAAACTGCAGCCAAATGTTAAAGTTTCAGTTAAACATGCAGCATCTTGGCTTTGAAAACCAGCCAGATGTATGTATTTGTGCATCTTTTAGTGCTCCTTATGGTCTCCATACTCCTCTTCCAGTTTCATTAACTTATTGTAGCGCATGTTGTGGATTTGTTTGCCGCCTGTCTGTGTTGTAGCCTTGGTCTATATTTGTTTGAAGTGGACGCTTTGGAAATATGATCTCGCCTCTTTGTGCATTTTTAGATCTGAATGCACCTTCATGTGTCTTGGACGGCAACCTAAAGGGAGTTTGTTCACTTGGATGCTTTTAAAATTCAGTTTATTCTTGCTGGTTTCTACAATCCCATGTTTTCTAGCTTTAAACTGAACACAGGTTTCGTTCTGCCCAATGTTTTCCACCATCGTGGAGAATTCTTTGCCAAATTAGCAAATAGTTGGTGTGTTTGTGGAGAGTTTTTCCTTTTAGTCAAATATTCGTGTTTTCCGTCTGATCCATGTGAGGATCCTTTAAAAGGCTCGAGTGTGTGTCCTGATTTGATGTTTCCCCTCTCAGGAAAGACTCCAAGGCTCTGGGCCAGCAGTGGAAGAAGGGAGTTCCCATCGAGGTTATCCCCATGGCGTACGTCCCCATTTCCAGGACGATAGCCAAGCGCTTCGGGGGGGAGGCCAACTTACGGATGGCTGTCAGTAAAGCAGTAAGTGGATAACCGAGTCTGACGTCTGCATCCCGACGCTGCTCACGTCTTCAGAGCACATCTCTGTTTGTCACCAGAGCAGTTTCACAGTTGTTCTCTTCGCTTGGTGCTGCTTCGAGGTTAATGTCTGAATTTGTGTTCTCGTAGCGAACGGCTGCATTTCTAAGTGTCCGTGGAGGCCCTGGGGTCCGTTCTGAGGATGATGGGTTGTGATACCTCCTAATTAGTGACACTGAAACGATACAGCTGCCTTTTCAGAACACATTAGAACTGCAAAACCTACAAAAATAAGCAAAAGGGATGTCCCAGTCGAGTCCCAATCTGATGCCATTTTCCACATTTTAAGTGTTATAAATTAGATGTAGTGCCAGGTGGAGCCTCTTACAGATTGATACCATCGCAACAAGAGGAGGTCGGCAATTTAGTAAAGGGGGACCATGACAAAGCCAGCTGTGACGATTAATGAGCCAGCAAGTATGTGAGAAACCAAGAAAAGTAGGACGTGTGACAGACGTAATGTAATTTGCAGCGTGTAGCATGTGGCAATATCAGCACAGGTGTCTGGAGATCTCTATTTATAGTACAAATCAGGGTCCTCGCCAGGACTCAGGACTATACGTCTTAGCGTATAGCGCTAACGGTTAGCAGCCAAAGACATTAAGCAAAGAGCAGCATTAACAGCGAAGACGACGGTAGAGAAACTGCATCGGCGCTTGTTAGATATTTTCCCGCTACATACCCTCGAAAACAGCGTAATGACCCAATTTGCAGCGTAATTTTTTCAGGCAGCAGCGTAACAGGCCGTTACTCTGTTATAATGCAGGCGGGAACCTTGCAAATTAATCAATTATTGATTCATAACGCTGCATTTATTAATGATATTTTTGAACCTGATCGGGCTTAAGTTCGTGGAGATACTAAACATGTAAAAAATGATCTTTATTGGCCTCAATCGTGTTCTTTGGATCCTGTTTAGGAAATCCCTGATAAGTTATATGTTGGGTTTTCTTTAAATACAGAATCTTTTTATTCAACCTCATGTTTCCATTTGATTTGAACTTGGATTAATGAATTGAACAGCACAAGGTGGACCAGTGCAGTTCACTCCTGAGAGGTTCAACCGTTTCTACAGGTCACCAGATGGTGGTAGAGAAGAAAAAAAATCACATTTTAAACTAGGGAATGGTTTTTGCATTTCATCACTGGTTATATAATTCACCTTAGAATAGATTTTATTGGGTACGTTTGAGAGTCAAAGCATGCTTACAGTTGGGTTTCGATTGGATGCACATACACGCCCCGTTGTGCCAGTTTCATACTTAACCATGGAGCTGTGGTCAGTTCTGCTCTTACTTTGGATCAAATTCTTCTCAGAAAAAGTGTTAAAGCTCAAAGCTCAGGCCAACAGGAGGCGCCTCGAGGTCGACCACCTAAAAGTCGGACAGCAGCGCCGTACAGACTCCCACAGAGTCTGGAGCCTCCAACAAACTTCTGAAATACCAGCCTGACTTTCTGCAGCATGTTATTGGTTCAGAAGTTCTCACACAAAAGACAACTTAAAACACACAACCGTAATGTTCTTTGGAGCTAAAATAGCGGGACGTGAGTGTTGCGCTTCCGTTCCTCACAACTAAGACCTGAGATATGAAGATGGATGTCTGGTGGCTCAGTTGGTAAAAGCCCCACATGGAGAGTTTGGGATGTCAGAGGTGGAGAAAAAAGGTCACGTAACGCATCAGAATTTCACATTTGGGAGCACTTTGGACAACACCTTGGTGCGAGCTGTTAAAAGTAAACAAAACAATGCATTATCCTTTGATTTTATGTATTTATTAATCATAATATTCACAATAATCAGTGACAATCTGCAGGAGACGTGTAGAACTACTGCTATGATCGGGGCAAAATGTAAAGTTGTGAAGAGCGAGCGGGATAAGTAGCTGTCTTTCAACCACTTCTGCTCTGTTACAGTACAAACACCTTCCCTAATTCAGCCACATTTCACCATATCCCAGAACAACTTGCTGAGCTGCGGGGCCACAAACAGCAGCGTTATCATTCTGGAGGTTGTGACTGAACCGCTGCCACGGTGGATAAAGCACACACTGAATTTTTAAAAACCCGACTCGTGTGTGAGCTCCACAGCGAGCTCGTGACAAACTGAGGAAAGTTTGCGCCGAAGCCAAAGCGACTCCTACACACTGGCTGCGGCCGCCTCATTAACAGTCTAGCTCCGCCGTTTTTTGGCTTTTTTTTACCTCCTACTCGCTTCTTTGAAACAAACAACATTCAGTCGGACTCGGGAGCCTCTGATTGTTTTTCTGACTCGTCATGTTTTCATCGTTCCTTCTGGCTGCTGAGCCACCAAACGGTTTGTGTAGTAACAGTTTGTTTGAGCTTTAATGATCACAGACACGCTGTTGTCTAATTGCGGTTGCACACAATCACTCGATAACTACACAAGTCTTTAAAGCATTTATTCGTCTGCCAAACAGGCTGTTGGAGCTTTGAACAGCTGAGTTTGATACCTGGAATTAAAACTACAGGTATCAACAACATCATTTTTGACTAATTATATTATTTGACGTCAGTCTGACGAGTCAAGAAGACACTTAGAGGTGTGTGTAATTCAGTTTTTGTAGAAGACTTCATAATAACAGGTGAGATTGTTCGTAAATGCAGTGAAGTAGACACCAGGAAGGAGAACAAAAGCTTCCTTAATTAGAAACTTGAGGTTGAATTTAACTAGAACTGGGCCTCAGGCTGCTCTAACATGACATTAAATCCACTTATTATATGTGGTTGTGTAGCAGCACAACGTCAGGACTCTAATTCAGGATGTCTGTAATTTACTTTTAGCAGCTTGACATACCTCCATCATTTTGAGTCTTCGTAATTGTAGTCTAAGATATCCGCAACATCGTGCTTAACTTAACTTAAGATATTTAAGAAGGACAATGTCAGGTCAGGGAATTGCAGGGAATCAAATAAATCTTGAACTATAATTGTGACTCTTCAGAATTAAACTGTAGATGTTAGAAATTGGAAATATTAGTTTAACCTGCAGCTGAATCGTAAATATCTGTAATAAGAAGCATGTGAATAGTGAAGGTGACTTGGAGCTCGACAGTGTTGACGTCTAAGATGGTCTTTTTCATGTAGAAGAACTGAATTGTGAATATCTACAATACAGAGAGTTGAAACCAGAAGTTTACAGACACTGCATAAAAACATTCTCTAAGAAAATCTCTCTCTCATTATTCTGGTGTTTAGCAAATAGACATAGAAATAGAAATAGTGTTGGTAATCCTGACTGACCTAGAACAGGAAAAGTTTAGTCTGATTTAATGTCAGACAGTGAAAAAAAAAAAGGTTGTCTTTCATACAGTGGATGTAAACTTGTGGTTTCAGCTGTGTCTAGTCTGACTGAGAAACAGCTCATTGTGATGCAGGCGTCCAAATATAAATCCGTTTCAGAATTACTTCTTCAGATTCACTTTCTACTAAAACTGTTGAGTTATTCCACTTGAAATCATCAGGGGTGCTTCTGCTCGACCGTCTCTGTTTTGCATAACACTTTTCATTATCATAAAATATGGACATTTACAATGATATCTGTGATAATTTAGATCGATATATAAATACTTTGTTAGATAATCTTTTTAGAAATTGCCAGTCGACCCACTTCTAGTTTTTTTTGGACATTGAAATTTGAGGCAATTCACAGAATAAAAGAAGAGGAACTATTAAAGACAAAAACCTGAAATTTTAACTGTTATTTCTCATCATGTCATTGATTCAAAATCTGCAATATTGGACGAGCAGATTAAATAATTTCTGGTTGTGATTATAATAAAATCAGGGTTTTAACATTTGCATGTGCAAAAATTGTGCTGAAAGTCAGTTGCCGGGCAGTTTTTTTGAAAAAACTATCTTGGAAGTATTTATTGTATTAATCAAAAACCTTTCAGTTATCTTTATAAATATCTAAACATTATGCTATAAAAATTGAAAACAAATCAGAGATGGATGAGCAGAATTTGATGATTGGTTTGTCATTTGTTTCTCTTGTACTTCCCACCTTTAACCTCTTAACAGCAACTTGTTGCTTTCAACCCGCCTACATTGGTTTTAGTTACATAAAAATAAACGGACACATTTTTGAAAGCTAGAAGAGTTTCTCTGATGTGAACTTGCGCAAGTGATTTATTAATTTCCATTTGCCAAATTTGATTGATATTCCTTAAAGCACCTCCTGAAATCCTGTGTTTCTGGCTCTCAGGGTCCCGTGGTGACCGACAACAGCAACTTCATCCTGGACTGGAAGTTTGAGTGCGCTCAGAAGTGGAAGGAGGTCAACACGGCCATCAAGATGATCCCAGGTGAGGAGGAGCGGTCAGGAGGCGCCGTTGGTTTCAGAAAGTACCGCGTGGCTGTGTTTTTGCTGTTACGTCCTGTCAAACCATGACGTCCAGGTGTGTCTGTGCTCAGGTGTGGTGGAGACGGGGCTCTTCGTGGGCATGGCTGAGCGGGCCTACTTCGGGATGGAGGACGGCAGCGTGCAGGTCCGAGATCCTCCGGTCAACTGACGAGTCGGCCATGATCCCCGTCTTCTCTGGAACGACCTCACTTCTCCCTCAAGTGCCGTGATTTACACCCGGTTTCAGGCTGTGCTGGAGCTGAAGCTGAAACTGCATCTCCTCCAGAACTGGACAAAACTGCAGCAACAACTGGAGCATCGCTTGGTTCCTCTCATCCTGCAGGTGGTGCTTCTGATTCTGTGAGTTTTAAAGTGCCTGATGAGGGAAACCAAGCGATATTCTTGTTGTTTTTTTGTTTTTTTTTGTTTCTCAGTTCGTCTTCCTGGTCACACTGGGACTCTTCCTGTAATTGGTGGGTTTGACTGAACATCTGCAGAGCTGCGGTTCTGCAGAGGTGTGCCTTGAGATTATAGTTTAAGTCCTGTAAATACAAAAAAAACCCCAGTGCTATGGAGGTTACATTTAAAAATCTCATAAACAGACGATTACCTGCTGGCTGATGCAAACACAAAGCAGTCGAGTTGAATCTCAGCACACTGTAGGCAGCTGAGAAATTAATTAATTTCACTAATTAATATGCAAATTTAAACAGCAAGAAGCTCCGTAAGTTAATAAGGAAACCTTGTGGTGCAGCTACGAAGCTTCTGTTGTTTGTTTTTGGTGTTACGAGGACACATGACACGATGACAAACGCAGCAGTCTGTCACGTAGCATATAGAGCACACGGTTTCAATCCAATGCATACGTTCCCCATGACAACAAAAAATGTGAAAAGACATGTAGTTTCTCTGTGATCATCTTGTGTATCAGTGCTGTGCAGTGTAGTGATGCATTTACATCATCTCAGCATCCAAAAGCAGTTACCAAACTGTTGTTTTTGAACTTCAGACCGCACAAATATAAAGTAATGTCTGGATGTTTATGGGATATTCTTCAACACGTGGCTGCAGACGGTTCACGGAGCAGCTGCTGCAACGTTATATATCCATTTATAATCAATGAAACTGGCTGAGTGGTGCATACAGACATCTGCAAATGTAGAAATAAACCATTCTTCACTTTATATATTTTTGCAAGGTGCTTTTACACAGAAACCAGTCAAAGTGTCATATTTTTTTAAAATTTAACAACCAGTATACAGGAAAATGACCTCTTTTTTTTCTATGTATATGTTGCTAGCATCAGCCAATGGTTGTTTAGTCACATTATCCTGGAGTTTATAGACGTTAACGTACCCATATTACACAAACTCACAGCCTCCAGAAACAGAAGACACTGTAATTCCAAAGCTCAAAATCTTGCTTTGCCGCAACACTTTTCCATAATTAGTCATTAAAATCTGATTTTTGCTAAGTTGCTTCATCCTGCAGTCTATAGATGCTAACTTACCCATACTACACAAATCAATTTGCCATTTGAAGCCAGTAAAAAGATGCATTTTCTTCTCACATTTAGTCTGCAAACACACACTGTGCGTCCAGCGTGGCCGCGATGTTAGCGTCACGTTAGCAGAGCTGGATGGAGGATTTCTAGCCGTGGTTGTAAACTTGTTTGTTCCTCTGGCCAGTATGTTTGCAGTCACGTTAGGTCACATTTTTGACGTAATTCTCCCATGATAGCTGCTGTCGCTATGAACCAATCGCTCTGGTTTCCCGCCACCGTGCGAAGGAAGACGAGAGTTTGGAAAATGTTTGCGGTTTCCTCTTGAGTTTCAGCAGCTGCTCCTGTAGAGTTTCACCCGTCGGGGTTAAAGTCTGCTGCTTCACTTTAAAACAAACAAACCACTGAATGTTGGTACTTTACTGCATGCACCTTCTTCTTCCACTGTGTCGGTTCTTTTTGTGCCTGTAAGTCCACCTGTGCCATAAACTTTAAATAAGTAATAATAACAAACATTTGTTGTATAACAGTGTCACATTTAATGGTACCAGTAGCACCGCGAGCACGTTACATGTGCCTTGGCATGCCAAAGCAATAGGAAATCATTTTTAGATTCAGGAGTAGCAGAAATCTGATCATGTAGCTGCTGATCTACGTGTTCAAAGCTGCACTGTGAGGGTTTAGGAGACTTTTCAATATGGAAACGTAAAGTTAACGACAAGTAACGAGTTCCTGAAGCTCCAGAACAGAAATATAAAAGATGCTTCCTGATTGGTCAGTGTGAAAAAGTCCAAACAACTTCACAGTGGAGCTTCATACAGTCTTTTCTCATTGTGCAAGTTTTCAGTGTCACACAAAACTACACTCACTGAATAATGTATTACCCAGAATACGGTTATACCTCTTCTCTAACAAAGTAATCAGAGTACCGTTGTTGCTTGGAAACAATTGGTTATTTCTTTGTTTATGCCGAGTTATCTGTCAACATCATCTGTTTGAAACTTGTCATCTCATTCTTTTTCTTTTTATATTGTTTTGTAATGCAGCTGTTTGTTCTGCTTCAGGCTCACAACGCCTTACGCTCCGCTTTCATTTTGTAAATCTGTGTTTTTCTACGTGCATCTCTGAGAGACTCGAGGCTGAGCAGTTTATTACAGCGCTGGGGGTTTTGTCTGCGAGCTTCCGTCAGGTACGAGCAATCTGGTTTCATTCTCCTAAATCCAATCGAAGAGGATGATTTTTACAATCCGCCTCGGCCTCGGCGGCCCGGAGACGAAGTAAAAACCGAGAATACGATGTTGGGTCTTCTTGCACCAGCGTTTCTGTTGTTCCTTTCTTTTACCAGTCGACTGTGAATATGAGTTTTGCTGTGAAGGTACGACTTCCTTTGTCAACCAATAAAGGACCAAAATGAGAACAGCAGGCGTCCGCGTTTTATTTCTGGTGATGGATTTCGAGCTCGTCATTCTGTCACCAGCGTGATGTGGTGCAGCTCAGCCTTTGTTCCAAAAGTAGCTTCTCAACCAGACGCTGTTAGTCGAAAACAAAAGTTAGAATCAAAACATTTCAGCAATTTCTCAAACACACGGTACTCTGTTGTGTTGCTGCTTGATACTAAAAGAAATCTGACCCGCTTCTCATTTTCCTTCACTGATGTACAAGAGAAGTTTGTCTAACAGACCAGCATTTAGTCTGATGCAGGTGTTCCTGGACACACTTTAAAAAAAAACAACAACAAAAAACAAAAAAACTTTATTTTCAGCTAATAGTTTCTTTGTGTTCATTCCTCAGACATGCATGAAAACATATGTTATAAATTA